CTTTGCCCCAGTGGGGGGCTGGGGGCGTGGCTCAGTGGTAGAGCCCCTGCCTAGAATTCCTGGAGAGATACCAGGTAGCTCAGTGGTAGAGTGTTTTCTTAGTTTGTACAAGGCCCATTCCTAAGTGTCACAACAAAACAAAATCCCCAAAATATCCCAAGAAGTTTCCATGCTTTTTGCATGGGGAAGCTGTGCCTTCTCAAGACTGAGTGGAAACAAGAGATGGTCCTGGACTAACAGAAGGAAGACGCTAGAGAACTCTGAGTCACCTTGGAACGTGTGTTTCCTAATACTAGTCCTTGTGTGTCACCTGGGGCATTTCTCAAAAGTAGAGACAAGCATTCATACCTGGAACCCTGCTGTGACACCTGTGTTTGTCAGGCTTACCTGTGGGCTCCTAGGGCAGTTTCAAAACCCCAGTGAGAACAAACAAACACCAACAACACTCCCCAGCCCCGCCCCTCTGCAAGATTCTTTTAGCCTGTGCTCTGGTGTTAGATTCTAGTGTTTTGTTCATGAGGGCTGAGAGGCTCAAGCACCCCAGGCAGCGTAGTAGCATGGTCTGGGCTGTCGAAGAGCGCAGGTGTTCTTCCTACAAAGATAGGTGCTTCCAGCTCGTGTGGCCACTCCTCACGGTTGGTTTCAGTTAATTTCCTGGGTCACGGGAAACAGTAGAGGGACCTGGGGATTCCAAGCGACACCTTGCTTGTTTTCCAAGTGCACAGTCTCTTTCTTAGTACCTTAGATTTTTTTTTTTTTTCAACGCTTCTGTGAGGTAGGCAGGGAAGTCGTGATCTCAGTGTGCAAATGAGAAAACTCAGCCACAGAAAGTCAAGTTAGTGCCACCCTGGGGTCGAAGGTCCCCTAGTGTCTTCAGTGTATCTGGTTCCTCTCCCACGGGGGCAGTTGCTGCCCTGCATGAGGTGAGCACAGGAGGACTGGGGGGCCTTCAAACAGTGAGACCCAGACCTACCGGCTTCCACTGGGGTTCAGTCTCCTGCGGGGGCCGCATACCTGGGTTGAGTCTCACCGGCCTTTAGTCCATTGTGCCACAGAGGTGGTTTCGGCTTTCAGCCACGGTCCACTCAACCCTGCCCAGCATTCCTGGCCTTCTCTCTGGGCCCAGCTCAGCGGTCCATGGAGGTCTCTTGTTACAGGTCAAAGAGCTAAATCCTTATTTGCAAAAACACAACACTTCCTTCTGGCCCTACCCTTAGGAATGTAGGGAGCATTCACAGGTCAGTCTGTGGGGTGACAAAGTGGCCTTTGGGGGGGATGTACTGTTGCACATGGTATGACATGGCCTAAAAGAAGAGTGAGCTGAGCTGAGCTGAGAGCCCGGGTTCTATCATGGAGATATATTGGGCGGGGACACCACAAGCACACAGACACACACACACACACACACAGAGACACACACACACGCTGTGGCGATGAGCAGAGGAGGGAGATCGGGTGTGTCAAAATGCATGTGGAGACCAGTGAGGACCCCAGACACTAGCCTCGAGCACTTGGGCCGTCTTATATTAACACCCCCCACACACACTTGTCCATTGAGGGCTAAGACAGAGACGATTTGGACCCACACAGTAGGGGCCTGGTGAGTTAGGCTGATGTTTGATTTCTTCAGACACAAGGAAGGAAGGGTGCTGGGTTGACCTAGATCTAGGGTTCAGGGACCTCAGCTGGCTGTTGAGGCAAGGCCATGGGTGTGAAGGGGCTGCTGGGGTGTGTTGTTCACGGACCCTTTTGTGTTCTTATAGGGAGGCCTTCGCCATCCCTTTGATTCCTCTGGGCCTGAAGGAAACCAAAGAAGTTGACTTTTCGATCGTCCTCAAGGTAAATCTCAAACGGCGGGCTCTGGGCTCAGCGTGGAAACGATGATGTACTCTTTGCAGTGACTTTAGGCGCTTCTGTGATTCAAGTGTCAGTTGACATCTGTGAGGTGACCCCAAGGCCTCACTTGGCCGCTTACCATGAGAATTTTGTGTATTCATTCCTCCAAAACTCTCGCTGTCATCTCTGGTGGCTTCTGCCACCCTGTCCATCCCCACTGTTGTCTGGGACTGGAACCCAGGACCTTCTGCATGGGGCAAGCACTCTACAGAGAGCTGTGTTTTTAGTCTGTCTTCGGTGACTTTGTAGCTCCTTCTGTGTGCCTGACAAAAGGCAGATTGTACTCTCTATTTTAGTGTCTTTATTTGCAAAGAAGTTTTTAAATTTACATTTATGTATGCATATATTTATTTGTGGGTGTCGTGTGAATGTGTATGTTTATTGTATGTGTATGTGTGTCTGTTGTGTGTGTGTATGTGTTTTCTCTGTGTGTGTATGTGTTTTCTCTGTGTATATGGGTGTGTGTGTGTATGTGTGTGTGTATGTGTGTTCTCTGTGTGTGTATGGGTATGTGTGTATGTGTGTATGTGTTTTCTCTGTGTGTGTATGGGTGTGTGTGTATGTGTTTTCTGTGTATGTGTGTTTTCTCTGTATATGGGTGTGTGTATGTGTGTGTATGTTTTTTCTCTTTGTATGTATGGGTGTGTATGTGTTTTTCTCTGTGTGTATGGGTGTTTTCTCTGTGTGTATGGGTGTGTGTATATGTGTGTATGTGTGTTCTCTCTCTGTGTGTATGTGTGTGTGAATTTGTTTTCTGTGTGTGTGTGTGTGTTTGTTCGTTTTCTCTGTGTGTATGGTTGTGTGTGTGTGTGTGTGTGTGTGTTGCAGACAGGTGGATATGCAAACCTTTATGGGTGTGTGGAAGTCAGAGGACAATTTGCAGTTGGTTCTTTTCTTCCATCATCTGGGTCCCAGGAATAGAACTCAGGTCGTTAGGTTTGGCAGCCTTTACCCCCGGCACCATCTTGCTGCTCTTTTTCTTTGAGACAGTCTCACTGTGTAGCCCAAGATGGAACTCACATGCATGAGGTGCCCTTGGAGGACAGAGGGCATAGGGTCCCCTGGATCTGGAGTGAGGGGTGGCTGCAAGCCACCTCATGTGAGTGCTGGGAACCTAACCCAGGTCCTCGTAAGTGCTCTTAACCTTGGGGCCATCTCTGGCTGCTCAAGAGTATCTTTGAAGAACAATTTGTTAATAAAACATCTTTATTTGACCTCTGTCCTCAGAGACTTTCATCTCTGAACAGAGGCATTTAAAATTGTTACTGTTATTGTTAGGGTTGGTGTGGATATTTACGTGTGTGTGTGTGTGTGTGTGTGTGTGTGTGTGTGTGTGTCCACTGTGCATGCAATATTGGTAGCAGCCAGAAGAGGGCCACAGATTTCCCGGAACTGGAGTTACAGGTGGTTGCAAGCCGCCATGTGGGTGCTGGGAAATGAACCCGGGTCTCTGGCAAGAACAGCTCTTAGCTACTGAGTCATGTGTGTCTCCAGCCCCTGCAGGGTTTTGTTTGTCTGTTTTTTAGACAGGGTTTCTCTATGTAGCCCTGGTTGTTCTCACTTTGTAGACCAGACTGGCCTGGAAGGCGAAGATCCCAAGGGCTGGGATTAAATATGTGTGTGTGGTGGGGGAGGGTACCCCAGTTGGAGAAGGGTAGGTCGTAGCAGTTTAGGACACAAGGTTATCAAAAACTTGATTTTCTGGGAGGAAAACACCTGAGCAGCGGCCGCCTTCTGCAGTCCTTTCACAGGGTATTGAACTTCTGACTGACCTGTTTGCTCTGGGGAGCTCTAGGCAGTGTTGGAAGGAATGTCTTCAGTTGTGTTTGTGGCTTTGCTTCTTTAAGATTTAGCTTGGTGCCAGAGTTACAAGAATGCAGGCATTTTTAAAGGCCATTCGTGTTATAGAAACCTGGGGATTTTATGGCCTCTGCAGAGATCCAAATAGGTCATGTGCCAAATTCCACATTAAAGGGAGTAAAAAAGAAAAATCCCATGTTGTGGACATGGCCAACCATTGCTCAGCTGAGGTTCCCAACCGTGTCATTTTGGTCTAAAAGGGAGCCTGCCGATGTCAGTCATGCAAACATGAGACCAGTTAGCAGACTTTCCATTTTCTACATTCCCCATTTATGCTTGATAGAAACTCGGATACCATAGGCGGGGCCAGTGAACTTAATCCAGGCAGTTCCATTTCAGACCTGACCTGTGTTTCCTTGGAATGTTAGGTCATGCGAACTTCAAGATGTGATTTGCTCTATTTAACGACATCTTTAAAGTAGCCACAGTCATTAGCAAGCACCACCAGGGGCTGGAAGATGGACCTTAGTAAAGAGGGCTGCCTGGCGTGAA